CCGTCCCCGCCTGGAGCCTCCGCCGCAGCAACAGGACGAACGCCGTCTTGCCCATGTCCTCCCTGGCAGGCAGGCCTCTCTCCCACCACGTGACGCACAGGTCCTGGATGGCACTCCGCAGCTTGTGCTCAGACTCGGGTAAGGCATACAGCACACCTGACACAAGGCAGGGAGTCCCAGTGGGTAATGCACATTCTCGCCGTCAAGGAGCCAACAGCTCAGAGCACTGCGACCGTGCCTTAGGAGCTCTGTAAGCAGCTGATACCCGCTTGTGTTAACTGGCCAAAGGTCTGCACGTGCTGTCTGTGAAACGCTAACAAAACTTTAAAAATTATCACATGGGACTAGCAGATGACATAGCAGTTACATGGCTGCACTCCCACAGTCAACTGCGGTTCGAGTCCCAGGCCCAGTGGCTTCAAAATCACACAGGGAACATGTGCATGTGGGCCCAAGCTGCCAGGAAGAAAATGAAGAATGAGTTGAGGCGTGGCCATTAACCCTGGGGAGTGATTTCTCATTTTCCCAGTCTTAATCCCGCTCGCACTTTCTCTCAGGCAAGCACACACACCCTAAGACAAAACCTCTCCAGAAAAAAGAACTATACACCTTTGTAAAACAGACCCACATAACAATCTTAGAAGTAGAAGCCTCAGAGAGCATGCTACCTAAACCCCTAACTCCAGAGCAGCCATTCAGGCTCAATGCAAAGGGTCCCCCGCATCAGCCACCAAGGACAATGACAAGTAGCCCCGGAGGCCAGCGGCTAGCGTGGCGGTCAAGGCGCTGGGCTCCCACAGGCTGGCTGTAGTGCCTCAGACCCAGCGGCTTGAAACACACTAGGTGTGTGTGTGAGCATGCCCGGAATCCCGGACGGAGAAGGGACTGTGGCACGGCCATACACCCAGGAGGTGATTTCTCACTGTCTCTCTCATCTGTCTGTCTCTCAGACGACCACACACGCTCTATAGAAAAAATAACTCTCTTAAAAAAAAAAAAAAAAAAAAAAACCTCAACAATTTTGAATACTGACGATATACTCCTAATTCTGGTCTGGCCTCCTGATGTCAAACACCAAACCCCTGGGCTAGCCGGCAGGCTGGAGCCGCGACTCAGCACCAGACATCGCGTCGAACAGCGATCTGAAACGCAGAAAACGCACAAAACGTTTGGGAGCTATTTCTGTACTTACTAGGAGAGAATTTTTAATAAGACACTGTATTTCAATTTAAGAATCCAGAACTAAAATGGCCCCAAACACATGAATCCAAGGCCCAAGGACCAAGTGACAGGGACAGGGACAGGGACCTACCGCACACACCCTGGGCACTTGGGGACTATTCTGAAGACAGTCACTTAAAACCGTGTTTGCATCTTTCTTTCAGATCATCAAAATAACCTTATGTAAATACATTACAACCAGAGGTCACTGTTCCAGACTAGTACCCCCAAATTACTAAGTAGGGTTTTCCATTTAGTTAGAACCCACAGACCATCAGGATTTAAATTGCAGGACAGTAAAAACCCCCAGAGGAACCGAGTCCTCAGACCGTGCCTGTCACGTGTCTAAGGAAACGGCAGTGTCACAGGCTCCAGATTAAAGCAGCACTACCTGGAGGTCACAGTGAGCTGAGGACCTGCAGCCTGATCCTTTCCCTTCGACCCTGGTTCTCAGTCAAACCAGAGCAGCCCGGAAAACACGCCAGCAGGGCTGAGGTGGCTCAGTCCCATGGTAGTCTCCATGGGAACACCGGCAGGCAGGTGGACCAGTGGGGACACAGGGTGGCCCCAGGCCGGACCAGCCGCGCCTCGTCCCGCCCTGGCTGCGGTGCCGCTCCAGGGATGAGCAGAATGAGCACCCCTGCGCTGCGTCTCCCGCGGCACTCAGGCCGGAGCAGCGTACCGTTCACGATGACGGCGCAGTCCAGCAGGGCTTCGTAGTCCTCACTGTCGTTGATCACAGACACAGAAGCAAGGAGGACAGATGTAACGGCGTGAATGATGTCCAAGTGCTTTCTCTAGAAAGGGAAAGGAAAGCCGAGGCATGGAGGAGGTGAGATCATCAACCTAAAATTTGACTTTAAGTTCATTACTTTCCCTTCCTTGAAGCAGAGAGACAAAGAGAAAAAGAAGGCTCTGCCAATAGGGTCTCGACACCAGTTTACCCACCACCTCAGCCACCCCAAGCAAGGGCACATGTGCCGCACTCAGGGAGGCCTGGGGCCAGCACCCGCCAGCCCGTGAGCTCGGGGTGCACCTCTAATGCCAGAGGGCAACGAGCGCTGAGGGCGAGCGGGCGGTGAGCAGCAAAAGCACCCCACACGGGCCGGTCACACCATCGGGGTCCCAGGCACGTGCACTCACGCCAGGAGTTCTCAGCCACTGGGCTGAGGCTGGAACCCTGGTCACCCACATGGGCTTCGACTCCCGCCATGGACACTCAACTGGTGCCTTGCGGAGCCAAACCCACACACACTTCCCCTGCTTCTTTACTCATGATCCAGAACCCACACATTAGCTGTGCGGGGAGGGATGGGGAGGAGAGGGGAGGGGACGGGACGGGACAGGAGGAGAAGGGCAGTCTCCACAGGGTCTGGTCACGCAGTGATCCCCTTCCTCCACTCCTCCAGAACTTGGGCACGCATGTGTGTGCTCAGTGTGCCATGACTCCAGTTTTGAACTTTCATAAGGTGGACCAGCAGACGATGGAGCAGTTATGTCACTGGACTCGCACATGGCTGACTCAGGGGCCTGAAGCTGGGCACATGGGTGTGTGTGCAGGTCACAGGACATCGGAGGAGGGGCTGCAGCATGGCCGTCCCCCAGGGGAGATCTCTCACTTTCCCTCTCACTGTCTGTCACCCCAGTCCCTGCCGCTGAGTGCATGCACTCTAAGGCAAAAACCTCTAAGAAAGATGTTCCAAGTTATTTCTAAAAATAAACAAACAAATCGAGCCGTGCTTTGAGCTTGTTCTGAAAAGTGAATTGAAGCCGAATACAACTGTCCTGAAAATGGCAGCCCAGGTGAGGGTCAGTGAGCAAAGGCTGAGGTGAGCACGGCGAAGCTCCAAGCCCGAGACATTTAATGTAAAGCCCAACCTACAGGGTGCGCACTCGCCAGGAGAGACAGACAGAGGAAAAGAGGACTCACACCCGGGGGGTGGACACACTATGATCCCTCTCCCTCCATTCTCCTCCTGGGATTTCGGGCACGCACACATGTGTGCCTGGTGTGTTTCAAGCTGCTGGGTCCAAGACTCGGGTGGCGCACTCAGCCGTGTGGGACCCAGAGCCGTAACCACCACCCCCAGCTGACCCCCAGATAATCACTGTCTAACAAAGGATGGGGGCTTCGACCGGGAGAATGAGCGCTACCGTCTTGGAGCCAGGCGCCGTGTCCGCGGCCTCGCCCGCCGCCTGCCACGCCTCCACGGGGCTCTCCAGCAGCACATCCGTGAGCAAGGCCTTCAGCCTCTGCCATAACTCCTCCTTCTGTTTCCGCGATAGTTCCTCTAGTAACTCGCTGAGGCTGAAGGGGTCAGAGGCATCTCTCTGTGAAATAAACAGCAAATAATGTATTTCAAACACAGAAAACAAGGGTGTTACCTTTTCATAGTGACACCGACAGGAAAGCTACAGTACTAGCCTTGTCACAAGTTCAAGCGTTCGGTGGGTTTTCAAAGCCGCCCCTAGAGGAGAGCCGGTGCGGGTTGCCAGATAAGGAGTGGCGAGGTCGGCCCTGCTCTGCTCTAGCCTCTGCACCCTGGAGGTAAGAACCTCATCACCGCCAGCCCACCCTGGGCTGCTGTGCTTAACGACAGGGACACAGTGACGACCACAGAAATGCAGACCCACCCTATGTGGCTCCAGGTGCCGGTGACCTGCCCCAAGGGACCCTCCATGCCACCCTCCACTCAGCCCAGACGCCCTTCTCTCCTGCCAGCCAATGACAAAACATGACATTCCGAGTGGCCTCCACCTCCTCTCACTCTGAGCAGACAGCCCCACGAACTGACAGAGCAAGC